ATTAAGGCCCAATTCGGCCTAGAAACTTATTAACGGCATTCTAACTCTTAGGCCGCTGAAATTTAAACTCAAACAGAGTCTCTTAAATCAATGCGGGCATTAGACCCACATCAAATCCTTGAAATCCTAAGGACCTATCGTGTTGGGCTCGTAGGTGCCCGTCGGGATGATTTGCTTGATAACCCACTATGTTCTTTAAAGAAATCATTTTTCTTGAAAATTTTCTTTATGAATACTTCTGTTAAAGCGATGTTTAACACCATAATATTTTACTAAAATCACATTTCGGGTTCTTTGATCACTTTTTGTTAAAACCAACACTATGTTAGTTTTGTTTCGTTAAAACTGTACAGTTTTTAAAATCTGCATTTTAGTGTATCTTAAAGTCGGATTTCAAAAATTTATTCTTCGCGACAATTTTTCATCTCGACGAGATCTTAAATTCTCATTTTTAGAGAAAGTTGAAATTCAGCCTCTAAAGGCTTCGTTTGGCTGAAAACAGTGGCTGCTGTTTTTCTTGAAACTGTTTTAGTCTAAAACTGTGCCATTTCGGAAATCTGTATTTTACTACATCTTAGGATTGGATTTTAAAAATTTGTTCTTCATGAAAGTTCTTCATCCAATCGAAAGCTAAAATTGTCATTTGTATGAAAAACAGAGATTCAGCCTCTAAAGATCTCGTTTGGCTGAACCAATGGCTGCCAGTTTTTTTTTTGAAATTGTTTTGGACAGCCTGTCCGTTTTTGTAAAATGGCTTCAAACTTGCTTTTAGAGTTAAAATGGGGTTTTGTCACAGCCACATAAAATGTTCAAAACATAAAGGGCTACAAGTTTAAGCTTTGGAACACCTAAAAATCTTGCTCTATGGTTCTCACTTCCGTGTTCAAATCAACCGGAAAATTTTTCCTCTAACAAAAAATAAGCAACTTAGATAAACATAAGCATACCATATAAAACTAACCTCAAAACTCACACAACCAACATAAAACTCACACACCCTTATTACAATCTTATCTCCTCAAGAACCACAAATTTACATCCATAAATCCAAGCTTAAAGTTGGCTAGAATTAATGGAGGGGAGTTTAAAAACTTACCCTTGAAGAATTCTCTCTTTCTCTTGAAAAACCCTTGAACTCCTCTAGGATTGTTAATGGCTTGAAACTATAAGAGTATAAGGAAATTTGAGAAGAATATTTCTCTATTTCAAACTTTCCCAAAACATGAAAAAGAGAGGATTTAGAGTTTCTTTACCCTTGAAGGAAGGCTTGACTAGTCTCCTCCTAGATCTTTTGATCTTCTTCTTCTTCTTCTTCTTCTATGGTTTGATAGTGGCTCAAGATTGAGAGAGTGAGAGAAAATATTTGAGAGGAAATGGTGTGTATGGCCGGATTTTTGATGTGGGAAAAAGGAGAGGAGAAAAAAAATGAGGCTTATCCTATGATGGTTCCTTTTATAGGCAACTTGGAAATAATTTTTTAACATCACATCAACTCCTTCAATCAACCAAATTTTGGTTCAATTCTCCCCTTTCTTGGCCGGTTATGGAAGGAGAAAAGGAGAAGCAAAATTGCCATTAATTTCCCTTCAACCACTACCATCACATCACACCATAACTTGTAACCTTCTATCACACTCAACTAGCCAAATTTTGACTCTATTTCTACTATACATGGCCGGCCAAGAGGAGAATAAGAGAGAGAAAAATAAATCCTACCTCTTGTACTTTTGTCCACTCTCTTAAGTTTCTCTTGAAATTGCTAAAAATTATACTGACTGTAGGTAAGTAACTTAGCTGACAGAAAATTCTAGTTTTCGACGATTCCTTTTCTACTGCTTATTTACAATTTAATATTAATTTCTGACTACTTCGAGATCACATTAAATTCTCACTTGCGTAATATCTTGAACTGTTTCAAGTCTTAAAATTAATTCTAGACTGAACAAATTCTAAATTTAACTTTTCTACATTAAATCCCGGGAATGACGCTGTTTCTGACGGTGTCCACTCCCGAGCTCACACTGTACCCTTCCACTATGGGTATTTATCTTGTGACTTTAACCTAGCTGTCTGGCAATTAAGGATCTTCTCTTCTTTAAAATGTTAGTGCATTTTTTTATACGCTGCTGGCATCATGCTATGTTTGGAGATTCTTGAAATTAAGATTCTCAAACTATACTTGTACTGAAAATTATTCCGCCTTAGGGTACGGCGAGAATTTATCGATCGAATTTACTTGATCGAAAACATGAACTTAACATGAAATCTGCTACAGAATTTAGGAATACAGATATTAATTCCTTAAATCCTTCAGTCACATAATATTTTCTAGGAAAATCATTGGCTTAAAAATACATAAATTGTATTATTTAAGGTATGAAATTTTCTTAGTCATTACACATGTTGCGTGGGACTTGAAAATTTGGGGCCTTTGAAGAAATTTAGAATATTTCGAATTTAATTCTTAGCTCGATCCGTTGAAAAAGAGGCTTTTGAAGACGTTTTTGCAAAAAGTTGTATCGCCTAGGCACCACAATTGCGTACTGCAGTGCCCAAAGGAGAGAAAACGCCTAATTTGGGTAGCACATCCAGCG